AGGATGAGAATGCGTTGAGCATTTCCCCCCTTTGAACAACCAACTTTTGGTACACGATAAAAACTTCTTGTGGTTTGATCGATTTAATTAACGATAAACGATGCAAAACATAGGCATTTTGAGTTTGTTATAGTGCTTCTAAATACAGCAAATCACTTCCTGCCCTCCATTTGCATTTCGCGCCATGGAAACGCAGTGGCATGACATCATATGAAAACAAGCTATTGATCCTCATTTTAGGTCTACTTGTTTTTCCCAAAGTTTTTTTTTTCTTTTTTTTTTAAATCGGAATTTCTCTGAAACAAAAAAGATATCTTTGGATACTTTGGGGATATTGTAAGTACACAACTGCAGGAAATATATCACACGTGTATGCAAGTGGATATTTTATTATAAAATTCTTACATATTGTACCTTTAAGAGACTCGTTCTGTTATTGTATTCTCCACACACTGCTACCATACCCCTTTTATGTCCTTCTTTATCTATTTTTCTTTTCTGGCTTATGATGACATCAATTCCTTGCTCTGGCTGTCCTCTCTTATCCACTCACCCCTGAGGCGGACAACCTTAGCAGTCTTCCTTCTCTTTCTATGGCTTTCCTTTCAATTCATTGCACCTTCTAATGTTTATTTTGGTTGGATAACAGCTCTTTACAAGTGATGCTGCGGGCAGTAGGTAACCCCTCTTCAGTGCTTTTTTGTCCCTTTGTTTTACAGTCACTCTGTCCTCTAGTCTAATGTTTTTGTCCCTTGACCCACTCCTTTATTTTTTTTTTATTTCCAGCTGTAAGTGGCTTCTGCCTCTTTACATGAACAAACATACCTAGATGCCTATTTAAAGGAATATATTACCCAAAGATTGTTATGCTAAATTGTGCCATCCCCTTATGAAATAGAAGTTTAATTAAGTGTGTTATTTGTAGACTTCCTTTTAACTAACTTTTTATGTAGCCTACTTATCGTAAAATATACTGTGTACTTCTGAGAAATATACTTAAAATTGCACTTAATTATACTTGACTTAGAAAGGTCTAAGTATATTCGGCCTATACTTGTTTCTTTCGATCAAGCTATACTTAAGTCATTAAGTGTTCTAGCTTGTACAGTAGCTTGTATTTGTTTTTACTGTTTTGATTAGCCTATTAGATACTAAATACTTTTTTCACATAGTTTTACATACTGTTTTATAAACGTACATTTTGTTAAAATATTGATTTACAAATAAAACAGATATGTTCCTAATTCTGACTCTGATTCTGACTTAGTTCATGCTAGTCCATTAAAAAATATTAACAGATACGACTTTTGATTCAAAAAATCAGTAAATGTTGAAATTAATAGTAAATAAGTTTCCCCCCCCCCATTGTTATGTTAACAAATGGAACCTTACAGTCTTACCAATACATTCTATGAACCAGCTGATACGAAGTATTGCAAGGATATGTTTCTGTATCATCTCACTGATTTGCAACACATTAACTACACTTTGTAGAGCAACAGTGTCAGTATCAGTAGCCAAACACTATCAAGCTGTCTGGAAACCTTGCCCTGAATCCCAACAATTTCAGTCAAACTGAATGTTTAGCTATTTCGCATTCTGTGTTCACTCATGCTTTAATAATGTCAAACGTCTACCTGTAGCATGCTCTGTGGATATAGAAAATAGGTTAAGCCTCCTGTCTTGATTGCCACCTCCTGAAAATGATACCTAAAATCTGCCTGAGCTTCTATTACACACTTCAGCTTTTCTTCCATCACTTACTCTTGAAGACACATGTTTTTGTATGATAAGCGAAACAAACATTCCCTACAGTAATTTTATCGAAATTACATTCCCAACATATAATCTGTTTTAGCTTCTGCTAAACATATGACTGTGCCTATCTCTCTATTCACTAACCACTGGCCACTAATATGCCCCAGATCTCTGATTGGTGCAATATCGGCTAGGACCGTTCAGGAAAGCATCGACCCTGAGGACTCCAGGATCTGCACTGGTTTTCACACCAACATTTGCCTTGGAGCTATATGCATTTATATTGATAGTACAGGCATAAAAATTCAATTGAATGTGGGATGCATTGCCAATAAATAGACTGCAGTATTACACCCAGCAGATGTGGGTGGAGGTTTGCTAAAATGTAAACCTTTTCTGTTGCCTTTATCACTCTTTATTTTATTAATTGTGCCTGGAAGAGTAAGTTCAATGTTGGTGGGTTTAACAAATGAAAACAGATGTGTTCCTTAAAAAAAAACAAAAAAAAACAAAAAAACATCTGGAATGGTGTGGATTAGTATTTGCTTTGGTTTGTGCAATAAAGATAAAGCTTTGAATCCCACAAGAGGAACAGGGCTAAACCAATACACCTCGAAATAAGGTGTTGGTCTTGGCTTCAGCATTGTTCTATTATCCCTAAATGAAATGCAGGTCCATAACTTTGGCATGCTTAATAAATTCAAATCTTACTATTATTGGAATGTGAAAGACAATAAAACACATCTTTCTTTTTTTTGACAGCTTTTCATTATGTTTAAAGCTTGTAATTTTCTGCTTTTCTAAACAATGACCTTTAGTGGGTCTATTTTCCCACTTTGAAATCAAACCAGCGTAAAAACTAAAATAAACTAAATAAACAGCCACATTGCAAAAATGTAGGTTTTCAGATATGGACCAATTTAGTTGTAAGTGGTTTGATTCTTTCACTTCCCCTTCTGTATATAATTTCAATTTATTCCTTGTGAAAACAAGCTGGTCAGATGAACAGCAAAAATGCTGACTGAAGATTGCTATTACCTTTAGCTCAACAGTCACCAACTGACAAGAAAATGGAGTTCCATGTCACTGTGTTGAAGAGGGCTCAGTCTCAGTTTATCTCTATAGACGCCATGAAGGTTAATTCAGAAAAGCTAACAACAGAACTAAACAATTTGTTTACGCTAAACTAAATAAATATAATGATAAAATAAAAAAAAATAAAAAACACTTATTATTAGTATTACCTTCGAACCATCCCAGGATCAGAACATATGCAAGAGATGGTGTGCATGGTTTCATGTCCAATTGAGTGCTTTCATTATTTCTTTCTATCTCTTTCTGTATGAAAAAATTGTTTTCACATACATATCATCTTCTCATCTATTCATCTCCTTCCCAACATTCTATCTTCCAGCAATCTAATTCTATCAGTATAAAAACTAAACATACACTGCCTTTCAACTTTAGACCTTCACTCTTAGAAGAAAAGGTTCTATCAGTGCTACATATTTGTAACCCCTAAAAGGTTCTATACAAAACCCTTTTTAAGGGTTCAATAAGAATGTGCAGATCTATATTGGGTCTGTCGGTCCATGATCAACTCTGGACATCTATTCGACCTCCAAACTAGATCCACTATTCTAGATCCACTATTCAACTTGCGCTGTTTGATTGATGACTCCAGCGATTGCAAAAAGGATCGTTCTTTGATCACTTTCTATATATAATTTAATCACAGTTTAATTAACAGATTATTTTCATTGTAGGCTACTAAGAGAAACAGTGTGAAGTTGACCATCTCTTTTTTACTGACACATAGGGAGACAAAGAATATCTGACTGTCCATGAATCATTACATATCAGAAATCATTGGTAACAGATCAGGCATTAGAAATAATGTTTTCGCACAGTTACTGTCAAGTCCATATCATAAAAGTCTGTTTGCCTGATCCACTGATATGCTAAAGAATTCACTGTGAAATGTACCAAACAGGCTACAAATAAATAATGCTCAACTGAGACATTCACATTGCTGGAAATAAATAACCACATTCCTAGCATTAGGATACTTTGGGCCAAAGTTGCAATGATGAAGTAGACTGTGTTGATTTTCTTCTGCAAAGGCGGTCTTTCACCTCAATGACTCATTCGCTGGGCTTGGTTAAAAGCTGTTTGACTAATAATTAATAATGTATGTGCACAGCAATACATTGGAAATATACACATTGTTTGTTGATGGACATACACTTTATTGCTGATAGTGAGGAATTATTGTTGCATCTCACGCTTGGATTGATATGGTAAAAAATCAACGTCATTACAGTGGCCAGACAGATCATTCTGAAATTTCAGCTTAGGAAGCTTCCTCAGAACTGATCGTACACAATCACAGTAGAGGAGGTTTGTGGAAAGTTGTTAGAGAACCATTGAAAAATGTGGTGATGTGCAATGTATAACATGAGAAAAAGAAAGTGTTTTTTGACCTCTGAAGCATGTAAGCCTGTTGTAAACATAATTAGGAACCTTTAACATATAGGGGCAGTTTAAACACACATTTCTTCTTGAATGTTTTCAAAAATGTTTAAGGAAAAGAAAAATAGATCATGAATATTGTGCTACTACACTTGACCTGAACATAAGAGGTTTACAGAGGTCATTTCTTTGAAATACTTTTCCAGTTTTCTTTTCAAATGGAAACAAACCTACTTTTTTGTTTTCTTTTTTAAAAGAAATATTATGGTAGATACCAACATCTATAATAAAAGTAAAATAAAACTAAAATAACACTGAAACATTCTTGAATGGAATATATTATACAGTGTTACCTTGAAAATATTTTCCTAACTGTATATATATATATATATATATATATATAAACACAAACAATAATAATGATTATAATAATAACAACAGAAATGCTTTTAGGAGTCTGAGTTGCTGGTGTTCTTGGGTCTGTAAAGATTAAAAACCCTGGTCTAAAGAACATACGTCAGAGGAGTATAGCCTATTATGTAACTTCAATGTGTTTAGGCGAATGAAAAGTACGATGCTACATTTTCACGCTGCAGTGCGTTCTTCACATCCTGACCGCTACATAAGGACATCCGAATTCCCAACTTTGTCCCACGGTGTGATAAGCAGACAGCGGAGGCGTGGTCTCTGACGTCACTCGGGCAGAACCGTACTACAGCACTAGTCTGGCTGGATGTCTGACTCAGCTACGCAGGTTGTTTGGGAATATATTTTAAACGCATGTTTTAACTAAACAGACAATACATCCTAGCTCGTTTCTCTTGTGTTGGACTACGTGCATCCTGCATTTTGGGCAGTTTGGGGAAGTGCGGCAGTAGGTAAGTTTGTAAGCAATATCACGCGAGTCTAGTTTCTGCACGCTGTACACAAGTTGGCACTGTCCCAGTCACGCGCTGTAAGTCAGGCATGTAGCCTACATGTCATTTTACATTGTATTGCTCTGCGACTGTTTAACACAGAGGTTGTGATGCTGTGCATGCATTACAGTGCTTTTGCATTTGAACTCCAATCCGTGCATGTTTATTTCATTATTATAATTGAAATGTAAAAAGTTGCTCTTTTAATGGAAAAATTGTGAATTTAAGTTGATTTGAGTTAGAATTTGTGAAACTAACTGTAAAATGAATGCTTTCAGGTATAAAAGTCTTTAACAAGAAGACGACCGAGGCTCTTGCTCACTCAATTGATAAATAGACTGGCAATGACTATGTTAATATCTTTCTGACCACACCTGCTAATGGACTGAGAGGTTACTTCAATAAATGTTTCATTTCTATATGTGGACTAGTGCCAATGCTGCAGAAAAGCCCAACGTCCCGATTCCAGGTCACTGTGCCCCCCAAATTTGTGCTATCACTGTCCTGCACCATCACCCGCTTGTTCATCTCTCACTTCATGGGGCTGTTTTTGCTTTCTCTGACCCTGTTTTATATCTTGCCACAGACTGCTAGAATTCGTTTCAAATAAATCTGTGCTTTTTATTTATGGACCAAATCTAGAACTGCGCAATAACGGCCTCTGCCCAACATATGGTGCTGTTGGGAGTTTTAACCCTTACAAGAAACTACATGTCACTGAGCTCTCAGGATTTAACACAAGGACTTTCCAAGTGAGTTTGCTCTCAGGATTTAAACCAAGAATTTACATCCAGGTCAGTTTTATACAAGCATCAAACACCCGAAAACCATCTGTGCTCATGTAAATAACAGATCATGAGCTCAGACAGCTTCCAGTACCGTGCACTGTTCGAGTACAAACAGGAGAGGGGTGACGATATCTCTCTGCAGCCTGGCGATCTCCTTACGGTCAGTAAGATGGCACTGCTGACGTCCGACCTCCAGGAGGGGGACGAGAAGTGCCCAAAGGGCTGGCTGCATGGCACCAATGAACGCACTAAGGAGAAAGGCAACTTCCCTGGCACCTTTGTGGAGTATGTTGGGGTCGTGAGGACGAGCCTTACTTCAGGAAAGCCCTGGCTGAGACCTGTACCGCCAACACCTGTAGGGCTCCTGCCCCCAGGGGCCTCTGCTTCAGAGGGTGAGTGTACATTTTCCCTAACTTGGGTGTTATCCCTAAATTTGGTCAAATAAACAATATTGTAACACTATATATATATATATATATATATATATATATATATATATATATATATATATACTGTATTAGGGCTGTAGTGAACCAAAGAAATCCTTAGTCGACCAAAGTCCTGTCCTGCGCAATGATCAGTTGACAAAAAAAAAAAAAGACATGTTTTGCATTTTGATTGAACATTTTTTAAACAACTGTCATAAAGCAAAAAAACAACACATAATACTATAATAATACGATTCTTTGAAAATGAAGTGATTCTTTTTAACTGCAAAGTGAGGAGCTCTGTCCTAGGTCTATAGTGACCGTCACAATCGCGCACCTGACCACACCACACCACACGCTACAAAAAATATAACTGCTAAAACTGAAAATAGCGTCTGAAAAAATAACTGAAAAACTACAAATAATGAAAAATCCTTACAAAATCTCTCATTTATACAGGCTATATATACTTCTTTAGCTTTTGTCTAGCCGATCTAGGCATTTTAAAACAAACACACTGTCTGGTACGTGTATATGTTGCTTACCACTTTTAGGTGATCGGCCATATTGGTTGTTATGATAGCTATGGTAAGTTAGCTGTAGGCCACATAGCTTGCACTCCACAGTCTTGTTGTCTTTTTTTTTTTTTAAATGCAGCCAGACAAAATATTTAGATTTCTTGGACGTTTTTTCAACTAAAGCCAAGTAGCGTTCTAACTGAATGAATACAGCAAAACTACCTATTATTCCAAACTGAGCGCGAAGCAGCAGTGCAGCCAGCCACAGGTGCGGTTCCCACGTGGTGCACTAAACTGTGGTGCTGTTATCAAATAGCCTAAATTAAAGCATTTAAAATTGGGGATAAAACATAGGCTAATTATATTTAGAATACAGGAATATATAACTGCTTATAAAGGAATACATTTCAAGGAGTAAATCAATGAAAATTTCTTTCTATGAGAACCAATGAGAATGTCAGTCGACCAAGACGGCATCGACCAAATAGTCGACTAAAGTTGACAGCCCTTATATATATATATATATATAAAATATGTGTGTGTGTGTGTGTGTGTGTGTGTTATAGACTTTTCTAAGACTTTAAATGTATACATTTACACACACACACACACACACTCACACACATAAATATATATTTATAATGTATCATCATGGAGTGAAAAATGTTACCACATCTCTATGGCATCCATAATCTCTTATACCCTCAGTCTTCAGAGCAAAATGGCTAATTATCTCCTCCCTACATTCAGATCAGGCACCACAACCCTATAATAAAACCCTCCGCTTGAAATTTGAGGACATTGTGTGCAAATCACAGACTTCGTCTCCCACTAGAAACGTTACTTCCAATTCTGAATTTAGGGATCTGTCTATGATTTGTGAATATCTCTGACAAAAAGAAAAGGCATAAGTATTTGCACAAATGGTGACTTTAAATAAGACAACATTATGTCTCAAATGTTGTGTGAAGCTCTTTATGGGGCCTGAGTTGCCCCTGTGTTTCTTATTGTGGTACAGTCCGCTTGTGGGGGTGTTCATATGCTAACTAGGTCAGACAGTCAACTCTGGTTTTTCCAAGAGTGCTCTTCTCTCTTACTGTCTAGGGTGCATGTCTCTTTTATGGTCAAGGGTTTAGGTTGTATTTATGTGTTTTATTCACTGTAGATTCTCTTTTAGTGACTTATTGAGTTCCTTTGTTTCAGCCAATGTGCAGAGATGGTGATAAACAGCGTAGCAAAGCTATTCCTTAGTGTCTGGAGAGGTAAAAACATGCAGTTCTGTTGAATAATTGATCACTGGTGCATTGGATGGCTGACAGTCAGCCAATCATTAGACTCACCCCGTGCCAAGGGATCCTTGTGGAACACTGACGAAACACTCACTCTGATTGAAGAGAGTTTTATGAACCAAACAAATTGTTAAGTTTACCGAATCGATCAGATGTTATTTATTATTTTTTTTTATAGTACAAAACAGAAAAATGCAAAGTTATCAGACTTGATATCAACACAGTCACATATCGAAAAATAATAATAAGCCTGACTCAAAATAATAAAAAATGCATTAAAAATGGTAAGCATGAATCAAAACTTAAACATTTAAAATTATATTGCACAAAACTTAAACATGAGTTCAAAGTTATCCAAAATGAACGCTTAAGGTGTTTTTTCATTTCTTGTTTCCACATTCTGCGCTTGCTTTTCTAAATGTTGCTGTATTGATTGTAAATATTCAATTCCTTGTGTTTTTGTACTGCAAACAACATCAAGCTAAACCGATTGTTGGAAAGCTAATAACAATTGTTTCCATGTCTCTGTGACATTTAGGTAGTATTGTTGATCCGTTTTATTCTCAATTTAAACGTGGTGTTGCCTGTTCTGACAACAAAATATCTTCTGTTGATAGTTGCTGAAATGGAGATTTTACAAGTTTCAGCATATGTTTCTTTGTGTAATAGCATAGATTTATAAGGTCAAACTCAGCAACCAGCTCTTTTATTTGTTTTTGTCTGTTCTCTCAATCCGTTCTTCTCTGTCATCTTCTGCAGAGGCATCATTAGCATTTTGTGTTCAAGCTGATTTGCTCAAGTGTTACAAAACGTGGCCCATTTTACTTAATAACAGCACTATGTCATGTCTCCTGGGCATACAATTGGCTGTCAAATGCTTGGTGGGCAAACTTTCTGTTGTGGAGATGGTGTATTCCACAGCTGGTTTCTCTCTTTCTCTTTATCCCACTATGAAAAAAAAAATGACATGTTCCATGAAAACAATGTATGTGTCAAAGATCAACTTATTAGCTGCTCACCAGCACTGTGAGTGTCAGTCCAAGCCTGCGATCTTCTCATTTACCATAATCCATGTTATTGACTTAGATCCATCTCCTTTGATCACCGATGCCTGATTACTTGACTCTCATTTCTCAAAGGCCTTGTGCAGTCATATGTTTGATGAGGAAAAGCCACTTTTGGTGTTACGGTCTGATCAAGCACATGGTGATGTGTTAATAGATGAGTCGGAGAGCTGCTAAGTGGGATGATGGTTTTCGAAGCGACTCCAGAAGAAGCATGAGCAGATCTTTCTGCGATCAATTTTCCAGACGTGCAGGTCAGGCATCATGGCTGTTTTTGTGGCTAGACTTAATGAGGAACTGAGCAATGCGAAAAGAGACTGCAGTCCTCCATTGACTATATTACTGAGGACAAAAAAAAAAAAAAATGTTTTTCTACATTCAAAATAATCCCAGCATTGCACCAGGGCTGCACTCTCAAAATTTACATTTTAATGTTAATGTGAGCCAATGTGGCATAATTTTTCATGAATTTATATGCCGTTTAAAAAATATAGAGAGAATTTGTTATTTTTAAAGTCAATTTACATTTGCTGAATTCAAATACCACTGTTAGTACTTGTCTTTGTTACATGATCCTTTATTGTAATATGCTGGTTTGATGCTAAAGTAACATTTCTTATTATTGTGGTTTTGTGGAAAACATTGGGTTCTCTTCTTTTTTTTTTTTTTTTTGTACCAGTGTAAACGGCTTTACTGCCCCTTTCAATCAATTTAATACATCCTCGTTGCTGGAAAAAAGTAAAAGTTTCTTTCAAAAGAAATCGAATTCCAAAGGTTTTAAGCTTTTCAACCCTCGGAGACTGTAGTAATTTACAAATGTACATTTTTTTCTTCAAATTTATATCTATAATAGTTAAATGGCAAATTAAAAGTGATATATGTCAATATATAATAAAATGCTTATGAGTTATAGGATTTTTTGTATAACAGTTATGTCATAAGTATTCAACGCTGCTGTTTTTAAGTCACTTACAGTATATGTATGTATGGTACACAATTGAAATGCAATTAAGCATTTGGAAACTCTATAGCAAAACTGCATTATCTTTTATAGCTCTTAAACATATACATGCATACATTTAGCCCATGGATGTGCTGAAGTTGAGTGGCAAATAAGTCAAACGAGCTCTCACAATAGCTATAGATAAGTTGTTTTATTACATTACAAAGTATGTGGTTATAAAAAGCTTTCCAAAACACTAAGTTTCTAGAAACATAGCTGGCAGTCTTATTCATACATTTAAAATGTGTTGTACCAGCAAACCATTGAGGTTTTTGAAGGAAAAGCACAATATCATTAAGGGGAATGAAATGTTTGAACAGAGTTACTCAGAAAAATCCTCAATTTACTGCCAAAGACTTGCAAGATGACCTGATGAAAAGAAGGAGAAGAAAAAAAAAACATTCCACTGCAGAGTAATAAGAAGAAACCTAGACAAGCATGATCGAATGCCACCCTTGGTCAACAAGAACATAAAAGGCCAAACTGAATATGCTACAGTTAATTTTGGATAGACCATAGGGGTGGAAAAATTGATTCTTACATGCATTGAGATACAGATGTGGATGATTCTGAATCGATTTTACAAAAAAAAAAAAAACACTATATATATGAAGAGTTCAGATGCAAAAGCCTCTAAATGCCATTTGACATTTTCTTCTTTAATGATGATTTTTATCAAACTTGTAAATTAAAGTTCAGTAATTTCACTTAAATAACAATTAATAGGTAATTATCATTGCCATTTAAGTGAAATCACTGAACTTAAATATACAAGCTTGATGTAGCTGAGTGAGTCCAATGCGTTTTCCCACCAGTGGAGCAAGTTGATGTATTAAACTTTTGCCGTGTCTGGTCGTCAAAACTCCGAACACATCTTAATTTTTTTAAGAATGACTTAAGTGATATTCTCTTAACTCCAAGTCCTCCACAGTCGCGGCCAAAGCTGATTCGAAAACATCTTGTTTGTTTTCAAGTAGCAGGGAATTAACCTATGGAAATCACGGCGCAGAACCATCTTAACTCTGTCGTCATTGTGTTAAGCCTGCCCACCAACTCTATACACGATGTGATTGACCTGACCAGAGTTTGG